AATTGTATCAGTTTGTTTACGCTGAACAAATCCTTTTATTACTGTTGACGTAAATTCTATAAGATTTGTTGTAGTTGAAAGACCACTACGAAAACCATGCTGATATGGACTCAATATAGATTGAATTTTCTGTGAAATTACTGCAGTAATTAATTTTTCAAACAATTAGCAACAGAGTAATTAGTATAGTCTATTGTTAAGCCTGATTTTTTATATTTACGAAAAAGCTTATTTTTAGAATTTTTTAAACTTGATAACTCAGGGGTTATCCATGGATATTTATTTGAATTTTTAACTCTAGTGGTTGGAACACATTCCAGTTTAAATCTATTTAAAATATCATAAAATTGATCAATTACATATTCTAAATCTGTATGGCTGTTACACAGGCACACAGAAGCCCAATTTATGGAGGAAATGAGAGTATTAAGTTTTCGAAAATTAGTTTTTTTGTAATTAAGGACAGTTTTAAATGAGTCGGACTGACTTTCTTCAATTACATAACTGTGAGTCATGGAGATATATAAAGTTGGATGGTATATATCTTCAGGAGTGCATATTGGAGGAATTCTGAATATATCAAAATGCTGTGTTATATTTACAAACGCCAAATCAAGAATTTTGCCATGCGAATTTTTTACACTGTTTATTTGATAAAGATTTAAGTCACACAAACTATTTACAACATCAAATGTATACTGGGTACTGTTCATTTCAGATGGCAAAGGAATCAAAGCTTCAGAATCTGGCATTGGAAGCCATTTAATGGAGGGCATATTAAAATCACCAAGGATCAGAATGCGATCGGAATCTTTCATTTTTTCAGTAATTAAATTTATTTCTGATAAATGCTGATTATAAATGTCAAGTGAAGATGAGGGGGGAATATAAGAGCAAGTTACAAACAATTTAGATTTGCCCAATTCAATGGAAACACAAACAAATTCTATATCAAGAAAATCATTTAGATCAATTAAATTAGTGGTATATTTGGTATCAACTGCAATAAGGACGCCACCACCTTTTTTACAAACACGATCTTTTCTAAATATTTGATATTTTGAACATAATATTTCACTATTTAATATAGATGTTTTTAACCAAGTTTCGGAGAAAACCAATACATTATAATTGAAACCAATGCTATCAGTATATAAACTGGTTAATTTTGTATTAAGCCCCCTTACATTCTGATAGCAGATAGAAAATGAGTCATTTAGTTTTTTGGCACCGAGTCTGGTCTAAGAGGCAAATGAGCTAAATTATCGGATCTCTCCACAAATTCTTTAATAAATGCCCTAGCAGGCCAAAATTCTTTTAAAATCAACTGTACAAAAATATTGTCAGGCACAACGATTTTGAAAGAAGATCTACTTTCAGAAAATGCAGATCGGAGCTTATAACATTTCAAAAAGTAATCTCCCTCAATTTTTGATTTTATATAATAGTTTATGTCATCGGCCGTTGTTTCTGGTGCAAACCTTGTTGCAAATATCATTTTCATGGCGGGGGCCATGGATAATGATCTTTGGACAGGTTGAGTTTTGCCAGTAGCAGTCTCGGGACGATCACTAGTGATAAGTGAAGGAAATGATAATTCCTGTATGTCACGAGTAGATTGTGAGGTTTTCTTAGAAACCTCACTATCAATATTCATAACATCAGGATTAATTACCCCTTTACCTATACCGCTGTTATCTACCGGAACTGGGTGTGTAATAACACTGGCATACGACTGTTCACGTCCATTCTCAGTTGTATCAGTGATATTAACTGAGACCGGTTGTGGAACAGTGTTCTCAACAGAAACTATTGCTTTGCGACTAGGCATTCCCTTAGTTGGTGCCTTTTTCGCAGCCCTTTTGCGTTTCTGTCCAGAAACTGACGGTGACGACACAAACTCATCTAACTCTTGGTATTTCTCAAACAATGTAGAGAAATTCTCAAATCGGAGTGATAATGAGGAAAAATCTTTTTTCATCGATGTCAATTCCGACTGCAAATCCTTTACAAAATTATAAAAGTCTGCAGAGAGTTTCCTGCATTGCACACAACACCAACGAACACCAACATTATTTCTAATTGTGTCTACTACTTTTGCATTAATCCTAGCACATTTTGCATGCCATTGATTAAGACAAAACCAACAGGTAACACACAATTCATCCTCAGCAACAATATTACACAATTCAAAAGGGCACGACATTTTCTTTATTTTAATTATAACTATTTCTTTTTTAATACACAAGTTCCAAATATTTTATTTAAGATTAGATCTGTAGCTGGAATTTTTGTTATTTATATTTATTCTTTTTTATTTATTTTTTTTTTTTTTAATGTTGGCAACTCTTTTGAGATGACAAACAAAACAAGACGATAATGTTACAACAACTAATTAGCTAATGTAACAAAAGAAAGAGGATAAAAGGAAAATGTAAAACTACACAATTTTAAAATTGATATAACTTTAAAACACAAAACAAGATTTTAAAACACTACACCAATTATCACTTTGAGTTACAAATCACTATTGAACACTTTTAAACACTTTTTTACCAGATTAATTAATTTAATAACACAATAACTATTAATTTTTTTTCAAAAGCACGGAGCACCACAATTTTTTGAACTAATCACAACAGGGTTGCCAACACACATAACTTAATACCTCTGCCTTTTAGTGTACGCAATCTAATTATTCAACCCGCTAGTATAAGAATGGTTACATGGTAATTAAAATTTAATTTTGGATCAATCAAAAGACCGAGATCCAGAAATCATGCTACAGATGATAATAAATGACCGCCAACATTATATTACATTATCAGAGAAGATCTAAATCGTTCTACAGTGAATTAGCTCGTTTCTCACAATTATGGGAAATGAATAACTTAACATCATCTGTGTACTTTAACAAATTCGAATAATTTTTGGAATTAGGCAATTGGTTGACAAATAAAAGAAAGAGGACCGGTCCAAGGTTACTTCCTTGCGGAACATCCGATGAAACGTTAATCGATTTAGATACTCTGCAAAGGAGTTGTCATCTCTCTTATAAATAAAATGATATCCATTTAACTAAGTTTGTGTTGAAGCCCATAACATTTAATTTATATATTGTAGTTCATGGTTAACTCTATCGAAAGCTGAACAAATCCTTTTATTACTGTTTTGTTGCAGTTAAGAGACCACTACGAAGACCATGCTGATATGGACTCAATCTAGATTGAATTTTCAGCGAAATTACAATATAATTAAAGGGATAATACTTAAGAATTCTATTAGGTATGTCATCGGGGCCTGGACATTTAATCGATTTTAATCTACGCACACTATTGGATACCTCTTCGCGTTGTAGGAAAGGCATTCAAATTTGATCAGTCTGTGACAACTTATAAGGATATGAATCGGAGGAATTCTAAATAATTCAGAATTCTGTGTTACATTTACAGACACCAAATCAAAATTTTTGCCTTGGGAATTTTTCACACTATTTGATGAAGATTTATGTCACAAAACCGATTAATAACTTCAAATATATACTGGTTACTGTTCGTTTCGGATGGCAATAGAATTAAAGCTTCAGAATCTGGCATTGGAAGGCATCTAACGAAAAGCATATTAAAATCACCAACAATCAAAATCTTTAATTTTTTCAGTGATTAAATTTATTGCTAATTATAAATGTCAAGGGTGATGAAGGTGACATTAGAACGAGTTACAATCAATTTAAATTTGCCCAGTTCATTGGTGTGACTTTAAAATATATATATGATTTCGCCGGGACTAAAAATATACGCGGTTTAATGGAAATTTTTGTATTTTTTCATTTCACCCTTTAAATTTCTGCTGACCCTTAAAATTGGTAGGCTACTTGTCTAAAACTCTTACCCTATGAAAATTTCCGATTGTTCGGTAATTGAAACCACTTATAATACCCCCAACACATAGTGTTGTGTGGTATAAAAACTGCTCAGATATATGTTTGTCCTCCGTATTCACATTCGTATCGTCATACACGGTCCCTGGGTATAGGTTTTAGAACTAATATTTTGTGTGTCAATCATGCGATTCTTTAAACATTTTTCTTGAAATCAATACATATTTTAAAATTAATCTCAAGATATGCATCCAAATCCAACCGGTTGGAAAAATTTGGGTACTTGAGCTTGCATTGAAAAAATCTAAAACCCCAATTTTAAAGTTAAAAAAACTGTTGATTAAATACACCAACAAACTAAAACTTTGTTCTAATCGTATCTTAAGCAAAAAAAAAAAAAAAAACAACTAAGAAAGCTGTAAGTTCAGCCCTGCCGATCAATACATATTTTAAAATTGAATGAAAAATTGAATTTTCAAAAAAATAAATACCGTTAAAATCTTAAAAATACCGAATATAGCCGTTATATTGGGGTCTATACAAAGACCTGCATAGGCAACTTTTGTCATAAGCCATTACAAAATGCAAATACGAAACTTGAAAAAATCTGATAAATATATAGCTAAAATCATCAAAATGTGGGGAGTTACCGTTATATCGGGGCTACACGAAGACCTGGACCTGGGCTGTAATTCCCATTACGAACTCTAAATACGAAATTTGAAAGAGGTAAAGATTACACAATCTACGAGACTCTAAAGTATATTTAGACCTAGCAACAGAGTAATTAGTGTAGTCTATTGTTAAGCCTGATTTTTCATATTTATGAAAAAGGTTCTTTTTAGAACGATATCGTGGACCGTTATAGCGCATCTTCGAACTTGACCTGCCTGCAGACAAGACTGATATGTGCAATATTTTGATTTCCTACCTTTATTCGTTTTGATTCTAGCGTACTTACAACAGACGGACGGACAGTGCTTAATCTTCTTAGACTTTTACGCTAATCAAGAATATATACTTGTTTTGTCTAAAATTACTATTTCGATGAGTTAGAAGCGGAATGACGAACTTAATATATTTTATATACTATGTATGGTGGAGGGTGTAAAAAAAACAATTTCGAAAAAATAAACCGTTTTATTTAAAATACGTTTTTGGTTTTTATTGATATAAAGTAAAATGCTTAAATGCTATCATGGTACATACAAACAAAGCAATTACAATCAACTAAGTAAAACAATACTATAAAGTCTTTATAAATAATAGTAACAAATTTTCTTGTCAAGTAATAAAATTAGCTAATTTCGTATTTTAGTAAATACATTTTACAGCTTAATTTAAAAGCCCAATAAGACATACTTTTATAATTATTTGTTTTTGTTGATCTTAGATATTAAGCCATCGACACCTTTGTGTATTCGAAGTATCAGTAGAAATCCTACAATAATTGCTGGCATTGATACAAATGTTGCAATACTTTCATAAATAAAACGAGGAGCAAATATTTTCCAAACCATTAGATGACGGCAGTGTATGGTACATGCTAACATAGCACAGAATATCTACAACAATATGGAAAAACATAAAACAAATGTGTGTCGAGATGAAATATTTAAATATTTACCTTAGCTCCCTGCAAAATGTATAGTTGAACGGCGAGCTTAAAAACGGTCCCAACAAATATATTTTCGTTTTCGAATAGGACCAATTCGCCACGAGTCATATCGAACCCAACGCATTCGTTGGAAATCTCACTTAGAGATCGATCATATGTAGCGGATGCTGTTTTTGTTGTGTTATTGCAATCCAACTTCCGATCCCTATTTGCATTTGTTTTTATCAAAGTGGGAAACAAGGCGAAAATTGAAAAAGTCTCGGTGGCTAGTAAACCAAACATACAGGAGAACAGAATGTGCCCACAGAATGTATTGAGAATGACTAGAATTCCAGATATAAAATGAGACTGCCCAATACTTGTTGTGCGACCAACGAATGCGGCACGCCAATCTATCTGCGACAATGTTGTTTGGTGGGATGTGGCAAAGAAGCAGAAATGTCCCAGTATAAACCAACCAACAATGGCGGTAAATGTTGGTTGTACACATGTTTCTACATACAAATAAATTGCATAAATGTTATTTAATTTCTATAAGTGTTTACCAACGCCAACTTACCGAAATTAACTGCTGTTCTATACCGCAAGACCGCATGTAATGACAAAATTATAGCACCCACAGCTATACATACAACAATGCCAGAGCAGGACTTTGGCTCTAAAATGATGACAAGAACCATGGCTAGAAAGGTTCCAAACGATATGAGCACTGATGAATATATTGTTGCCAGACCATAGACGACGGGTATGTCGCTGTGCCGTTCCGCATCATCTCCCTGATACATACTTTTCATTTTTTTAAATATTTCAGGAATAATGTTGTCTGTACGACTCACAGAAATGGTCGACTTATTTTTCTGTGGCAAGACGTAGACCATTAATGGCGAAACAGTAACAACAATAACTTGGACAACCAGCAACGCGTATACTATCAAGGCCATCATGTCAATGTGGGTGCGATCGACATTCTTTACAGAGCTATTGGATAGGAGAATATGACCACCTGTACAAATGCTAGCTACCGTTGGACCATAACGAGCCATTAATATATTTACAGAAGTACCAGTTAAGTTTCCACAAGATCGTAAATAGATCCGACTCAGTGTAGTGTACAGGACGACAATCACAATAGAAAGAATGTACGATTTGGCACTTGATGGTTTTTTTAGGGAGAAGCTTCCTGCTGAAGAGTTGGTTGTAAAGTCCATGCAGTTACCTTGTTCTTCTCGGCAGCGGAAAAATGTGGTTGCAAAACGTATTAAACATACAGCCAAAACACATGCCAATAAAAGCTTAAAGGCTGTAGATTTGATAAACTGCTGTGGCTTGAATTTTGTTTTAAAGTCAACACGAATGCTCTTCTGCAACAGCTCATATGCCATAAGTATAATTACACATACGAGCAAATAGGATAGGACATGGCCCTCGTTTACGACAAAACTATTTGAGTAGCAAATTGACATCAATATGATGAGTATAGCCCGTGTTGGCATATTTGCAAATCGTTTTACTTTTGACCAACTGATTGCAATGGTGTACCAATTCTGAGCCATGTGAAATACAAGTATGAGCGTACTTATTACATTCGTAAAAAATATTACTGCGTGTTCTTCAGTTTTGAAGGAAAAATTCCTATAGTAACGATAACCGAAAACCCCAGCGGCCAAGTTTAGCAAATACGTGTAACCCAGCTCCTTGATAGTAAAAATATTGGATAATTTACCAGCAGGTGTATTAGATATAAGCACAAATGGCAGAAACACAGCAAAAAATGTCACCAAGAGGCCTTGAGACATTTGTGTTGCATCGAATTTGACCCATAATTCGCGACATGTACTTAGAATTTGTCGAAGATGTGCGTTTAGATCCCCAATAAATGATTTGAAAGCCGCATCATTATATATAGATTTGACGCGGTGTGTCAGCAAAATGAACTCAGTGTCCATGCGATCCATTTGTTCCACATTGAAACTGCGCTTGTTTTCGACAGCATAATTGTAAAAGTATGTGTAGATTTGTTGGGCATTTTGCCATACGTGTAAGATCAGTGTTTGTAATTTTGTCATATGAGGCACAGCGACATCAGGTACAATATTAAAATTAATTAATCCCAAATTTGAATATGGTATTGGTATGCCAAGAATTGTTGCAAGTGTGGGCACAAGATCAATCTGAAAAAGATAGAGTTATATTATTTAGGCAAATGTCAAATTTATGTGATAAAGTATTTAAAAACAATAATAAACTTATGCAACTCCAATTGGAACGTTAGGAGTAGCATTCGCGCGAAACAATTATGTGATTGATCTAAAACTCAATCGCTAAGTATTAAAAATATATGCAACTCATTCGGTTCCAAAACTCCGTCATTGGACATTTTTTACAGTTTTTTATACGAACATTTTGCGCATGAAAATTTTCGGTTTTTTACAATTCTACAGCGGGATTGAAAAACCCTGGGCCACGGTTCTGTTCGGTTTATTGAAACGCCATCCACAACAGCTCTGTCTCGATGCGATGTAATGGATGTAGAGTGGTTGCATTTTAGGAACCTCTACCGCAGGACCTTACGCCACATGTTGTTGTTCCGATTTCGGAAGTAATTTCAATTAAAAAAGAATCGCATCAAGATTGAAGGATTAGAGTTCCTGTTACTCCATACTGTTAAATACAGATCTATCTCGCTTGAACTAGTCTCTAGTGCATACATGGGGTATATGGGGATAGCACTCAAGTGTGGAACTGCCAAGGTACTGTGAACTGATTTTTAAGACAATAACTGTTTGGATTTTAATGTCCCCCATGAGTTCTGGATTTTCTTCCCAGGCAATGGCCAGAGGGGATCGCATTAACAGAGCAGATTGATTGCTCCACATTCTGCGTGGTAAATGAGGATGAGAAGTGCGTCGCCGTTCGCTAGATTTAAATATAGGGATATTACGGTCTTGGCTGACCGTAATTTCTCACATTTTCTCTTCTATGGGAAAGCTCACTGGTCAAAATTTAGAGAGTTCACCAACCTTCTCTCTGGGGAACTGCCAACGCTTCTGATGTTCGGTTACCAGAGAGGATTATCCGAGACATCATGAATTGATGTGATAAATCCGGAACTTTTCACCTCTTCCTTTTCGGAATTCCGCGACTTCCATACGGATATGAAACTATCCGTTACTAAATCAGCGGCCACACTCTTCACTTAATCCACATAGATTGAAAAATAATTTACTTTAGTAAGCTTTTTCTAAAGTTAAGCTTTTTTTGTTAATTTTATATTTGTTTCACAAAGATTTTTCAATATTTGCTAAAGCTTTTTTAAGAGTAAGGCTTGTGTGCTTAAACTTATTATAGTACGTTTATAGTTCACCGGATTTAGTAAACGCAGTGGATGTAAATTCAAATTACATATAAGTCAAATAAAACTTTATAAAGGAAGTTAAGCCTAACATAAACATGCATTATAATAATATTCTCAAGCCATTTCAGTATGTTGGGAAGGTAAGAAAATGTATGTATATCAAATATTTAGAAAAGATCGTGTTTGTAAAAAAGGTGGAGGCGTCCTTATTGCAGTTGATACCAAATATACCACTAATTTAATTGATCTAAATGATTTTCTTGATATAGAATTTGTGGGTGTTTCCATTGAATTGGGTAAATCTAAATTGTTTTTAACTTGCTCTTATATTCTTTATCAAATAAACAGTGAAAAATTCCCACGGCAAAATTCTTGATTTGGCGTTTGTAAATATAACACAGTATTTTGATATATTCAGAATTCCTCCAATATGCACTCCAACTGTATATATCTCCATGACTCACAGTTATGTAATTGAAGAAAGTCAGTCTGACTCATTTAAAACTGTCCTTAATTACAAAAAAACTAATTTTCGATAATACCCTCATTTAGAGTTAAAAATTCAAATAAATATCCATGGATAACCCCTGAGTTATACAGTTTAAAAAATTCTAAAAATAAGCATTTTCGTAAATATAAAAAACTAGCTGGCCTGTTCCGCGTTGCCGACCCGTACTTTTACTTTTTAATGAATATTTTTTGTATATAATGAGTCCATAGTAATTTCTAAATAGAAATAAATATTCATGGCGAAAGTTATAATAGATGTTCGCCTACCATTGGTGTCAGATATTTTGAATAGCCTGATCTTATTTTTCAGCTATAAGCTTTGATTTGACTGTTAAAAACCTATATGATACAGAAAATATATAATATCCCCAGGTGGAAAGCCAGCTTAATTTTTTGTATTATAAAGAGCTTAGAAAAATTTTCCATTCAAATTGCTGTTATTTGGACTTTGTATTTCGCGCTGCGTGGTATTTAATTTTGTCTACCTCTTAATTGAGGGCAGAATGATTTTAGAACAGTCAAAGATAATTACACATTTACACCCGTAAGATGGAAACTATTTTTTTTTGTCACTTAAATTGTATGTTAGAGATCCCATAAAGTCAATTTTTCCATATTAGCATAATTCAATGATGATCAAAGAAATGCTCGGCCATGTGCTATTTTCTTATATTCGTAATTTTTTCATATTTCTGCCGCAATTTCCGACTGAATGAGTCTCAGTTTCACATTTTGGAGTTTATTTCATATGCACGTACATCCCAAATCTAAATTTCCATCCAATATTTTTTGGGTGTTACAAATTTAATAGAATACAAAATTTTCTATACTGGCCACATATTGGGTTGATAATGCCTACGATGCCCCAAGACCAAATGGGCCCTACCATGGTAAAATTAAGAAGGTAAAGTCATTTCAAATAAGCATACCCATCCCTGCATTTTCTGTAATATACCTTGTCAAATTTCACTTCACATACCATTTACGGTACTCTGAAAATTTTAAATTGTATGCGAAGAGATTTTCTACTTCCTTAGAAAAAAGATGCCAAATAAGGTCCAAAAAATTAAAAAAGTGGCCAAGAAAATAGCTTAAATCATATGATGGTTATACCAAAACCTAATGATATTTGGCAAGGATGGTTTCTTCTCAAACAACCAAAATGTGCCGAAATTAGTATAAAGAATATATACTTGAAATCGGGTTGTACCCTTATGCGGGGGTTATGATGACCTGCAAAAGCGATTTAAGGTATCTTGAAAGTTTAGGAATAAATCCATTTCTGACTAAATGTCCAATCCCCTCTAATATTTTGCATCCTTTATATTCCGTATTTCACTGATTGCAGTCCCAATTAATTTTGCATTTTGAGTTCTCATTGGATAGATTATTGTCATGTGAAAGAAGTAGGTCCTTGTTTTGAAATGAGTCCAATAACGCTTTGTCGGTAAATTTTGTTTGTTAAAATATGTTCACATCTTCCAGCTGAAGCACGATGTAGGTCCTGGAATTGAAAGCTAAATGCCACTTTTATACATTAGCGATCGCCAGTCACATTTTTATTGGCAAATTTTCACGGGATTTATTATTATTATTATTATTTCTTTTTTTTTTGGCAAGATACCATTCTGAAATTGTATGAATTGTTAAAGTCCGTCAAGCCGTTCTTGCGTTTTAAGCGTAGTAATTAACATTACTTTCTTTTATATGGTGGAATTAATTCTTTATTTTGTATCGTCTTCTGAATACCTAAAATCTATAAATAGCATTTTTGTCCGTTGTCGCTTTATACTACCGTAAAAAGACTACACATCATATTAATTTTTAAAAACAAAAAAAAAAAAAAAATCGAAAAGAAAAAGCACTACAAATGTACATTTGAAAATAGTAAGTCAAAATAAAAAAGTCATGCTATATAAAACATTACTATTGTACATTTTAAAAGTCAAAATGAAAATGTTCAAAAATTTAACATTTTTCCGCGATTTGTTTGGATTTTATACTTTTCTGCCGAAAGACAACTCCGAATTTGTGTGAATCGTTAAAATCGGACCGGCGGTTCTTTACTTATAAGCGTAGTAACTAACACAACTTTCTTTTATATATATAGATGTATAGATAGGTTAAAAAGTAGGCGTGGTCAGTTCCTCAGCCCCCAAATAAATACTTAGGGTTGGAACGTTTGTACAAAAAATTATGCAAATCGGTCCAGACGTTTTCAATTGATTCCATAACCAACGAACAACAATTAATTTCTATATATATAGATTATACTTTATATAAATATACTTTAGAGTCTCGTAGATTGTATAATCTTTACCTCGACAAGATTAAAAATATTTTTAAATCCAATTCCAAATCTTTTTATGATTTTGTTAACATAAAACGAAAAGTTTCCTCAAAGCCCTCAGTATTGAAATATAGCAATAAAGAATTTGTCACAGGCACAGATATTGCTGAATGTTTCCCAGATTTTTTTGCCACTACCTATTTCAGTACATCTTGCCAAATTAAAGATTTATATCCGTATACGCTATCACAGGCCGATCAAATTTGTATGCCTTTTCTAGAACGTCAAGAGGTAAAAGGATTTGTTCAGCGTAAACAAACTGATACGATTTATACTGATTTTAGTAAAGCTTTTGATAGGGTTAACCATGAACTCCTAATATATAAATTAAATTATATGGATTTCTTACTTACAAGATAGATCACAACTAGTTTTGTTTGAAGGGTATCTATCCAAAAAAAAATCTTCTCTGATATTGTAATATAATATTAAGGGTCATTTATTATCAACTGTAGATTCATTTTTCGATCTTGGCCTCTTGATGGATCCAAAATTAAATTTTAATAGCCATGTAATAACAATAGTAAATAAAGCAAATGGTGTTTTAGGTTTTTTAAACGATGGGCCAGAGAATTTTCTGATCCATATATAACAAAACAGTTATTTGTTAGATCTATATTTGAATACGGTTCTGTTGTATGGGATCCTCAATATGCAATATACTCAGATAAAATAGAATCAGTGCAAAAACAATTTCTGCTATTTGCCTTACGAGGTTTACATTGGAATAGTGATTTTGTTTTGCCTTCTTATGCTAGCAGGCTAAAATTAATTAGATTGCCTACACTTAAAAGCAGACGTATTATGTTGAACTCCATGTTTGTACTAAAAATATTAAATGGTAATATACCTTCAGATTTCCTAATCTTATCTATTAGAATTAATGATCCGTTTAGATCTAGTAGCTATATGTTGATTTTCACCGCACGAATTATTCAATGGACGAACCTCTTAGTAAAATGTGTGTTGTCTTTAATTCGGTGTACTGTAATGTAGATATTGGTGTGAGTTTAGATATTACTAAATCTAGAATAATTTTATTTTTAAAACAATTAAAATATATGTTTCTAAAGCCATTATGATGCGGATCATTATGTGTACGCGATCCCTGCGTAAAGGGAGGTCGCCCCTCGGTCGGCAGGGGTGGGAATGTGAGGCGTGGGAACGTTCGGAAAAAAGTGGAGCTACCAGCTGATTACATGTTTTTAAATTTAACTATTTTGCATTGAAGCTATTAACTAGTTTTGCCATGGAATTGAAAAATTGAGCAGCTTAGATCCTGTTCTTAAAAAATAAACCCACTCATTTCATTCATTTTTGGCGATGTTTAACTTATTTAATCCAATATATTCTCCAATAAATGAAAACTTTTTGGATATAATTCTGAATATTTGTGACAGAAAAGCATCAGGTCTTTTTTATTAACCCAAAACCTTTTTATTAACCCAATGGATAAGTATTTAGAACATCGACATTAGAATTAAATGGTGCCCCTCATGACACTAGAGGGTCATCCACTTGAGACTAAAATTCTTCTCGCGACATCAGAACGTCATACAGACAATATAACTCCCCAACCCATGTTTGTAAGGAAGAACCAATACGATCTAGAGAGGAAGTCCAGTTGAAAACCTCAATACAATTGGCTTTCTCCCAATTAAGTGCCGCCGTTTCAAATCTTTTTAGTCGCGGAATGATAGAGATGCGCATAGCTTTTGTCTCAAATTCACAGAACTAACACGCGGATATAAACTGCTGCAACAAATATTCTTAATTGTGCGCACCGATATGAAAAACGTGTAGCAAATAATGATGTGTAAACGTACTGTAGATAGAATGACAAGATATCAAGCATAACACATCATCTCACTTAATGTAGAGCAACTATCTTTTACGCATAAACAACAATTTTCTTATCTTATTTTAGTTTACCTGCTGCATTACGTCTGTGTCAGAACCATAGTCACCGTTTAAAAATTTTGTCTGTTTAGAGTAGGCAAATAGAAGGGCATTGATTTCATCATAAGAGTCTCCGCCGTGATCACCAGATATCGTCATGCCATGGTCGCCCATCACTAGAAGGGTTGTATCATCACTCATTTGAGATGCCACATTTCTATATGAAGGCCATATTATTATTCTTCAGACAAAAAAATATATATGTAGATACCTACTTTATAACGTTATTCATTTCTGTAAGTTTCCGAGACATTTCTTCGTGAAGTGGTCCATGTTTGTGACCACAATGATCCACTCCCAAAAAATGAGCAATGAGAACTTGCCAATCGTCTTTTTGAATTTCCTTTGGCAACTGCTTTTCGATTTTACGATCAATTGTGTCCAAATCGAAAATATCAAAACTGGGATAAGAATACGAACGCTTGAAACGATTTGGATAAAGATCGGTCCAGGTACTATCACCCATAAAAACAATCGGCAACCCATTCTTTACCATCTGATCGATTATGTTGTCCTCATTTATTTCAGGAGAAGCGAAATTAGACCCAATATCAACAAATGTTGGAAGACTGCCCGTGGTTAGCCCCTTCAGGCGTTGTAGAGTTGTAGTGGGCGGGTCAGCTTTAAATCGCATGAGCCGAGAATGCTGCGGTTCATTTCTAATTAAGTCTCTGAATACATCCAATTTATTTTCATACGGTAGTGGCTCCGTTACATTTTCCTTGTAGACTCCAAAGTCATATTTGAGGGCATCAATTAACAAAATAATTACTTTTGATTTTTGCGGAAGACACAAATTTGATGAAGCATTGACATCTTTAAAAATTTCGTCGACAACGTCATCCGTTAGGAAGTATTCCTAGAACCAGCAGAAAAGTTTTTTTTTTTATTTCTCTAGGTCAGAGGACCGTGCTCAATGTAAACAAATAACACTTACGTCATTTGGATCTTTGGACAAATGCCGGCAGCTATTGACATCTGTCTTAGAGACTCGCGATAATAGAAATCCACGCGAGAAAAGATACACTCCAGATGAAATTAAATATGCGAGCCATGCAAGTATCAAAGCATAGCTGAGAGCAAACTTCATGTTTCCACTCTTGCTTGGTAATGGTTGGGTTTATATATTACTTTTATTCTTTGATATATATGGATGGAGTGGATGGAGCTTATGGAGACTACAGCGCAACGATGAAGAGCGAATTATGAGGGCGTTGAAAAAAATGAAATACGTCCCAACCAAGGTAGATCTAACAGGTAACCGCATCGGCGAATTGCTACAACAAAGCAACTTTTGTGGTACCCTTAAATGTCAAAATTGGCATCTAAGGCGAAAAACATAGATTCGCCATGACATTTAAAGGTTGCGGCAAGTTTGTTTCAACCAATCAGAAACGAGGTGTTTGTTTACATTTTATTTTGTGTGCCTCTCATCGTAAACGAACGTCGCAATAAAAATTTTTATTGTAATTTTATTGTATTGCGATATTTTTTAAACCAAGAAACTTATAATGACTATATTTTACTGGTTTAAACCGAAAGTTTTCCGGATCTGCAAATGGCAAGAGTCGAATTCTAACACTACTTCCCGTGATGTGCTTTGGGAATTTTAGATGTTGAGGCTAACTTAATTCTTAAAGCTGCACTCCATTCTAACCTCTTTCCTTCATTTTCTTTCAATTTTATTTACTGGTTTCACTCTAAACTTGCTCTTAAATGATTTGAAAATATAAACAAATTTGTTGTTGCATTCATTTAGGGCGAATTCTTCATTACAACAATTTGTTTTGACATTTAATGGTGCCGTCAGCTGGGCTGATGCGATTACCTAGTACATCTACCTTGGTCCCAACGAAACGAATATGAAGGCCACAAAAGAATACCTGATAAAAAATAAACAGAAAGCAAAGACTCGGGGTACTCTGTTGTTTACGAATGAGGAATGAGACATGAAAAAATTGAACATCTTAACTAAAGAGCGCGGAACTATTACATATTTTGGGAAATCACACAATCCTCCAAATTTTATTTTCCTTTGCCAGAGAGACGCCTAGGGATAGGTAAGTCGATATATTTCCACTTTTATTACAAAATTAAAATTTATATTATGTATATTATGAGAGCGTTGGAAACAAAAATGAAATACGTCCCAACGAAACGAATATGAAGGCCACAAAGGAATACCCGATAAAAAAATAAACGAAAGCAAAGACTCGGGGTACTCTGTTGTTTACGAATGAGACATGAAGGAAAACTGAACATGTTGCCAGATTGTTGAACAAAAAAGGGAGAGATTAAAATAATGTAAGGTGGCTTACGCACCATTGGCCCAATTCACACGATAGTAATTTATCTAGTCTAAAGGTAAGGTCACACTGGGCAAATATTTGATCGAAATATGTTTTCCCATATTTGACTGAACAAATGTGAAATTCATACAGAGTTGATTCGATGTTCACATTACAGTCAAATATTTGACAGATTTTGTTTGTTCAAGCAGTCACCAAACAGCGTCAAACAGGGCTATGGGAAAACATGTTTGACACATGTTCACATTCGTAAAATATATTTTCCCATTAAATTGTTTGATCAAACTGTGAGGAAACATACGTTTATTTGGCCTAGAAAAATAGACAGAGAGTGAGAAAGAGAGACATAAAGAAAATGTAGTTTCAGGTATAATTTATTTGGAGAAGGAAAGCAAAAGAACAGCTGTTGTGGAATATTTTTTTTTCTATTTTTGTTTGCATCATGGTAGAAGAATACAGGTAGTCACATCGACATAGCTGCTGGGACAATGAACTGTCAAAACAATTTTGGAATTGAAAATAATGAATGAAATATTATTGAAATTTGTAAAAATTGTTGAAAAATATATATCATTGCAACCTCCGATTTTTCGCTGTATAGGAAAACATAAAAATCTACTTATTTTTGTCAAAACATTTCAACATTTTTGACATATCATTGTTTCAAGCGTTGATGCATCTACCCATATCCTGTTCCAGAACCTGCAAGAATCTACTAGTTTCGCAATTTTCTTCGATATAATAAAGGGAAAATCGGTTATCGTAGTAAAAACACTTACATTCTCGCAGTTCTGGAACAGACCAAATATAAACATTTTTTACTAAACATTCAAATTCAGTTAATTCAAAAATATCAAATAAACAAAGCCACTTATTGCATTCGTTTGTTTTTCTATTCATTAAAAATCATGCTACAAATGCTCCTGTTCTTAAAGCAAAATGCTGCCCAATGTTTTAAACTGATATTTTTCCTTGTTTGACCTTACAAAACATTTGCACCGTCAAATAAATGTTTGACCAAAAAATAGGAAAATAATTGATCACATATGTTCACATTATGGACACTGTTTAGGGGGAGAGGGAATGAAACGATGTTGTTGAGTGTTTGACGAGAACTGATTCTTTATTCAATAGAACAACTAAATCTAGCCTTAACATCTAACATAAAAATACACATGAGCTTATTTACTAATGCACGCTGTCCCAAAATACATAATGCACTCCACGCACACAATACGTTGCGGGAGAAACGAAACATACCTACTGTGTGATCGACCCTTTCTTATCTTCTATTTGTGGCCGTGCCATTAATTACATTATTTATTACCGACGATAAACATAGCATATAGAAAGCACATGCATCTTTAAGTGTTTTCTTTATTTAACTAATTTACATTCTTCGGAAAAGACAAATAAGAATGAGATAAGAATCTAAAGAAGTATATTAAACATACAAAACTATTTATACAACAAGTACAGTTTCTACAAAACTAAACATACTCCCGGCCTTAAAAGATCCTAATCTTTTAACAAACTGAGATCGATCACCTTTTAACATTTCAATTGCGTGCTTCATAAATTTCATTATTATTTATTTAAAGTAAATGGTGCAAATCTAAATTAATTCTGAAATCATTTCTCAAATTACACTAATTCATATTGAAATATAATTAACGTATTCTATTGTTACGGATTTACCTACATACCTTAAAAATACCCTAACTAAAGTCGAGGAGGTGCGATGGCTATCGGCAGGTAGCGGCTGGACAGATGGTAGAGTCTTCGGAGAACCAAGTATAACACTGTGATTATACCAACGATGAAAACACAAGTCGTAAGGCTCAGGCTGTAATGCGTAAGGTGATGCGAGTCTAGGTGAATAGGGAAACCCAGAAATCGTTTAGCTTGCGGGATATCTGGCAACTTGTAGACTTCGACTTCGTTCTTCAGACTTAGATGGGTGAGAGGTGGCAGGGATGCGGAAATGTTGAATTGCGGGAATTTGTAGCTTATCTCGCTGTTGTAGTTCTCGTGCGCCCATAACTTCATCTCTTCAGTTTCTAGCGTACAACCCGGCTGCATGCGTAATATTCCTTGATCTCGGATTCTGACGTTTTGACGTTTACCATCACATTTGACTTCAGTGACAGTACCTTTTTCAACCGAAAATACCCATGTATTCGGTGTGTGAAGTTGCTTCCAGACGTTCCGAAATTTTGAAATGGCGAATTCGCAACTATCTGGTATCGTATTAGGTTTCAAGTATAGCCTTACTTCACAGTCAGCCGGCTCTCTAGTGTTGTAAATGGGGTGCGTCTGCTGGCATATCAATAGTTTCTCCATTTTCTGACATCTAGCAAATTCATCTTCCTTGAGGGTGTAGAATGACGTCTTTCCCTCATCTATCAGAAGATACTCGCTTTTTGCTTTGAACTGTATTGACAATCCATCCTGTTTGATTGGATAAGACTGGATTGCATAAGCAGCAAACAGGTCAGTATTAATCAGAGGTATGCGAATGTTAAACAACATATATTCTTCCGTTGTTCGGGTCGTTACCTCAGCAATCTTGGCGAGTTCTATTGGAGATTCTGCTGGTAGATGCAATCTTTTTGCCACTGCAGCATTTATCATCTGGATCTGCTTCTTGAAGACCTTCACGGGAAGAATTTCGTGAAGGAAGCTACCCCGAATGTTGACCTTTGCGCCAATTAAATCTCTTTGGACTACTTCCGCCTCTTGTACTGTAGCAAGAAGCTCTGAACTCTTTAACGTCATCGCGCCTCGATCTTTAATTGCGTTAATCTCAGACTGCACCACGCCTAAGGCATCGCTTAGATTGGCAATGCTTTTAAATACCGCTTTGTTTTGTTCTTTGATTACTTGTGCGGTAATGTTCTGGAGAGATGTCTGGTTATTTAGCAACTCTACCAAGGAATCCTGGTTTTCTTCAACCTTAGTGATCCTCTTCACTAACTCTTCAGCGTGTTCCTCGTCCATTAAACCAAATAGAGAACGAAACAGACCACCGACGAACGGCAATGCAGACCTTCTCACCCTTGCAGCTGGAGCTGATGCCATTATCAGTTCATGTTGATTCCTCATGCGGTCATGGGCTTCTTGCAACCGCTGAATTAACCTCAATTCTTTCATCTCGGGCACCGTTGCTACGTCCATGTTGAATTTCTCCACGGCTTCATCAAGCGCCTTCATCCCCGACACATATTCCGCCATGTTCACGTGCGCCACAATATTCCATGATGTCTTCGTCAGCCCAACAGCAGCCACTTCTTCGAAAAACACGCCAGCCCTATCTTCAAAATTTATTACATTTACCTGGGCTTTCCCAGGTCTGCTTATTACAAGCATAAATAATATATGGAAAAATACATTTTTTGACTTAAATCTACTTTTCATATTATCCTTAATCATTATATCTTTTTTTACTATTGGAGCCGATTGGACCGACCCCTCATCGTGATTTTCATCATCCTCATTATCGTCGATAGGAAAGGGACAAACATTGTGGACCGATCTTTTGGTTTCCCCATTGCTTGTCCTTACGTCTATCATCCGACATAATCCATCCGAACCCATTATAGTTCGGATGACCCTCCCCCGCCTCCAGCAAAGCGGAGGAAGGTTGTCTTCTTTTAATAAAACCAGAGTGCCTGGTTTAATATTAGCACATTTTTTAGCCCACTTATACCTCTTTTGAAGTTCGGACAAATATTCGTTAGACCATCTTTCCCAAAATTCTTTCGTTATTGCCTGCACATCTTTCCAATGTCCCCGCAGCCCTACATAACTTTTATTTTTCTCGGTGTCAGTAAATGTAGAAAAGCATTCCCCTATCAGAAAATGAGCTGGCGTCAGAACACTGAAATCATTTGGATCGTCTGACAATGGCGTTAACGGACGTGAATTCAAACCGGACTCTATTTGCGCCATGAGTGTGCACATTTCCTCAAACGTCATGATCCCACTTGCGACCCTATTCATATGCCGTTTTACAGATTTCACACAGCTTTCCCATAATCCTCCTACATGAGGAGACCTAGCTGGAATATTAATCCACTCAATGTCTCGTTGTGTGCAATAGCTGTCTAGTTCTTTTGTTAGATCTCTGCTACGAAACAACTCATATACCTCATGCAAACTATTGGCAGCTCCGACAAAATTTGTGCCGTTATCAGAATAAATTTTCAGTGGACAACCCCTTCTGGCCACAAATCTTTTTAAAGCCCCAATAAATGCTGCTGCTGTTAAGTCTGCTACAACTTCCAAATGAACAGCTTTT